AAAAATTCAGAATCAACTGCAAAATGCTTATATTTTGCCCTGAAGAGTCGAAAACAGTCCTTTTCTCCTAGTTGTTACAGTTATTCCATCTTCCAATGGAGTGGTATCATTAAAAGTTCAAAATTCATTGTTTAAATTTTGAACCAGCCTGGTGTGTTGACTTCATGGCTCCTATCGTACCATTTTGGGTCATAATAGGATGCCTAGGCCTGTTTTTATTTTATTTTTTTCGCCCGCCCGCTCCATTATTTTTCTAGAAAAATCCGTTAACCAAGAAATTAAATTGGTGTGGCCTAAGAATAAAAGAAATTCATACATGTGACATCACACAGTGAAAAAGTATGAGGCCTATCTAGCTTATTGTATGCCTGCAATATTTCTATAAGTACCCTTAACACTAAAACACAACAAGTTGATTACAACTATTCTGGTTATGTAGATTATCAAGTTGGCCAAAACAGTCTACAACAATGTTAACGTTATAAGTTTACTGCACTGTCAGAAATACACATCCATGTAACTTTCTAAGTGGTACGCTTATGAGCTGTTCTATATCCACTCACTCACTGTGTCTTCAATTGTAGAGTATCTTGCCTGTATACAAAGTACTCCTTTACATGTGGCCATACTCCTACGGTATGAATGGTACAAGCACGTCGGCAGAACGTACTTCACCTATTTTGGCAGAATGTCTCATATAAGGTTGTATTCGTTCATATAAGGTTAGCATTTCGACAGTAGTTTCCAAATGTTATGTCGGAAAGAATATCCTCTACAACAGGCAAAATTCTGATGCAACGTTGACCAAAAACCCAACGAAAAACACGAAAATCCGGGGTTCTGTGCAGGCGCAGTATGTTCTGCCTACGTGCTAATGGTACATAGGCATTTTGGCCATATTATACACACAAAATTCCTATCTCTAGTTTCTCATCAGTTTATTTAGCTAAGTATTTCAATCTCACACATTTGGGGTTCCTCCCCTTGTCCCTCGCCCGTGTGTTTGGTTGAGACATGCTTCTTCAGATGCCATTTCCATGTCGTAGAAAAGTCACACTGGTCACATTTGTAACCTTTTTCATCTGTGTGCTTTTTCATGTGTCGGTTCAGGTAAGGTTTGAAAGCTGTCTTGTACCCACACTCCCTGCATGCGTAGGGTTTCTCAAACTGTTTCAAGTGTTTTACTTTGACGTGTCTGTCTAGGTCTGTTTTTGTAGCAGTGGAATAGTCACAGTGTTCACAATTGTGAGCTTTCTCTTCAGTGTGTCTTCTCTTCTTGTGGAAAACTAAGTCAGACTTCACCCCTGTCCTGTATCCACACTCCTCACATAGGTAGGGCTTCTCACCAGTATGTCTCCTTGTGATATGTTTGTCTAGATGTACTTTTGTTGCAGCGGCATAGTCACACTGGTCACATTTGAACGGTTTTTCACCGGTGTGCGTTTTCATGTGGACATACTGTTGAGAGAGGGTAGACATTCTGAGCCCGCATACGCTACAAACGTAGGGCCGCTCGCCGGAGTGTTTGGACTTGATGTGTTTGTGTACATCGTGTTTATGCACAGCAGAATAGTCGCACTGGTCACATTTGTGAGGTTTCTCACCAGAGTGTCTCATCATATGTGAGGTCAGGTCTTGCTTCATCTTGGTCTTGTAACCACACTCCTCACACACGTAAGGCTTCTCATCACTGTGTCTCATAATGTGTAACTTCAAGTTTCTTCTCAGTGCAGTGGAGTAGTCACACTGGTCACATTTGTAGGGTTTCTCTACAGAATGTGTCCTCTGATGTTTCAGTAGCTGGCATTTCTGCCTAGCTCTGTATCCACAGTGTTCACACATGTAGGGCCGCTCACCGGTGTGTGTTTTTATGTGTTCGTCCAAGCTGTATTTCCAGGCTGTTGAATAATCGCACAGGTCACATTTGTAAGATTTTTCACCCTTGTGTTTTTTCATGTGCTTTGCTTTGACGTGTCTGTCTAGGTCTGTTTTCTTTGCAGTAGCGTAGTCACATTGTTCGCATTTGTTGTCTCCAGTGTGTCTTCTCTTCTTGTGTAAGGCTAAGTCAGACTTAACGCCTGTCCTGTACCCACACTCCTCACAGAGGTACGGTTTCTCACCTGTGTGTCTTCTTATGATATGTTTCTCTAGATGGACTTTCGTGGCAGCGGCATAGTCACACTGGTCACATTTGAACGGTCTTTCCCCGGTGTGTTTTTTCATGTGGGAATTTTGTTGACCCTTCGTAGCCGTTCTGTGCCCGCATTCCTCACAAACGTACGGCCTCTCACCGCAGTGTTTGAACTTGATGTGTCTGCGTACATCGTTCTTATACACAGCAGAATAGTCGCACTGGTCACATTTGTGACGTTTCTCACCGGTGTGTCTCATCATATGTGAGGCCAAGTCTTGCTTGACAGCAGTCTTGTAACCACACTCCTCACAAACAAAAGGTTTCTCGACACCGTGTCTTGACATGTGTACCGTCAAGTAACTTTTATATGCAGTCGAGTAGTCACACTGGTCACATCTGTAGGGTTTTTCTACGGAATGTGTCCTCTGATGTTCTCGTAGCTGGCTGTTCTTGGCTGCTCTGTATCCACAGTGCTCACACATGTAGGGTTTCTCACCAGCGTGTGTTTTAACATGTCTGTTTAAGCTGACTTTTTTTGGCGTGGAATAATCACACTGGTCACATTTGAATTGTTTTCGTTTAACAGCTGGTTTTTCAGTTGATGATGATGAGTCAGACATATTGGCTGTGCACCTTTAGCTGTCTGCACATCACATGAAATATATTTTCTTAAGGATCAAGGAGGTTTAAAATCGTCCTCTGTGGTGTCCCTGAAGGAATTTGTCCTTTGTTCTGTTTTCTTAATTCGTTTGGTACTTTGTGCTTTTGTCCTCTGTTGTCTGGTTGTCCAATCAGTAACGTTACTGGCTCTAGTAGGATATAGAAAAATACATTTGAGAATACTGAACAGATGATATAAATGCTACTATTAGTAGTCTAGTAGTATAAGTTCTTATCATAATTTTGAAACCCTCCCCAAAATTTGCCAAAGGAACTACAACGTGAACCCAACGTGCGCCAAACACCCCAAAGCGTATCCTTGATAATACAATTGTTAATTTAGCACCGTAACGCTATAAGCATGAGCTAAAGGGCATAAGGAGTGTCTTACGATGTCTTACCAGTTGTCGTATGATGTGTCCAGTTGATAGAATCTTTTAAAATACGTTGAAAATCTCCGATATACTGGGGATACACTCCAACAGTCAAGAAATGGCGGTCAAGCTGAAACCCGGTCAAAGGTTAAAGGTCAAAGTGAATAAACCTGATGATCCACATAAGGTCAACATGGGTTGAATGTTGGTCATTGCAGATAAAATACATGTAGTTTTATAGGAAAATAACAAATGTGTGGTGTTTTATTGTAGTATCATATACTAGTAAGTAATTATAACATCCAAGCAAAACAACTATTTTCCTGTTAGCATTAAATCATGTGTATGAAACTGTGTACTGAAATTTACTATTGGTTAGTTCGAGGGGGGTTAATAGAAGATACATGTATTGCATATAAAAGAATCATGATATTTGAGACAGGAAATGCAGACTGATCATTCAAAAGTACAGAGTAGCTAGCTCTAATCATGGAGTTAGAATACACGCAAGGACCGTTTTGTTGCAATTAACAATCTCGTCACTAGATGTCCTCACTGGCATGTTGGAATCCTTGTTTCTATAAAACCGAGTCCAAGCAAGTTTAACTTTCTTATAGCATTCCGAAATCTAGATGCAAAAAGAAACCAATGAAATAAGCACTAACAATGTTATTGTTCTTATAGCGGTATATGCCACAGTGGTCACTCTTCTACGAAATGGAAGTTTGTCACAAAACAAAGTGTACTGTATTTCTTATGAGGTTGCACACGCATAGGTTTTGCTAATAAAAGTAACGTTTAAATTTTGGATTTACTAAGCTCTAGAGCTTTTGTTTAACTTTCTTTTTAATCATTTGCAACTCTTTGGCTTCTTTCTTGGGGCTTTTCTTGTCCGAAGTTGTCGTTGGGGAATAAATTGTTCACCCAAGAAATTAGTTTTCCCAATGCTTTCTAAGCACCGATTAGCATTTGTCTCAATCAAAATCTACCTAGCAACAATCGAGTGAATTTTAGATTTCTGGTCATAAAGTCATAAAAAGGGGAAAATGAATTTTTGCGCGACCGGGCCAGCTGAAACGCCCAGCCAATGGGAAGCGAGGATGGTAGTCACGTGGGCGGGACAGTTTTATCCCAACCATCTCCATATTCCGTGCCGAGCGGATAGTTTTGGTAGCCGCAGTCGACAAGTTTCCTCTGTTTTCGTAAGATCTGGAGGATTTCTACTTGTTGTTTCACGTTCCTCCCCAGGCTGGTGGTACATCAACTCGACTTGGGACGGACGGAAGCTTTGCCATGCGGGCCAGCCGCCGATTTTTCACCGAAGTGGTTGTGGTAGCGACTCGCAGGTAAGAACAAGTCGGGCGCCCCCCTCCCCCTCTCACCGCCAACCTAGAGAACTTTTCCCCGCTTGTTTTTTCGTGAGTTCAACCGGGTTAAGGTCGGGTACAATTACGGCACGTCCTCTGTGGCATATCGGGGGAATATACGCATGATAAAAGGAAGATATGGCGCTTGTTTTGATGTTGTTTACGATGTTTATGGTAGATTGAACGTTGAAAGCTCCAGGCCATACCCAGAAAGAAAGTGGCCGATCGACCGGCATTTTCTGTGTACGTGTGCCCGCGGCTGCGATCGGGATTTTTTTCCTGGGTGGTAACGACAACAAATGTTGTAGATAACAGAGGAAAATTCGCGCAGATAAATTGTTTGATTTCAACGTATCGTTTGACTTTTACGTGGAATTTGTCCGTTAGATCGGAAGTCGAAACGGTTGGTTGTCGAAAACCGTGCGTCACACGTAAAAAAACAACACATTTGACAAGAAAAGGTTTTGTTTTGAAATGCTATAACGTTAACTTTATCTAAAATGATTATATTACAGCGATTGTTTATTAATTTCTTTGTCCCTTTTCCGGATATTTCTATGTTATGTTGTTTTCGAATTTTGTCTTGTCATTATTTTTCCAAAACAAACACCGTCACGTAACTGTAGATTTCCCAAACAGTTCCCATTATGTCCATTTCCTTTGATTATCACTACGCCAAATTCTGTACCTTCAAACGTAGTACGATTTTGATACTTCTAGGCGATTTCTGTAACAAATCGGACCAGTTTTGTATCAGTTTATTGTGAAGCAAAACCACATGTGGTGTCCCCCCAAACAAAACTACGGATCACATTTCAATTTTCCTCCCACAGTAGCAGTTTTTACATAATTGAGCAGCGTAGAAAACAATGAATTATTTTGTTGAAACACTTTCACAATCGTCTGTTTGAAAAATGTAGTTTGTAACTGTGAAATTTTGAGTGAGAAACAGTATTGTTCACAGTGTGGGGTTTTTACATACAGAACAAAGGAGTGTATTGAGAAAAGTTGATAATGTTGCCATTTGGTAGCTAATCTGACCCTACAGATTCAGCAACAACAAAGGGAGGGGGAGGGGTAATTTTGGTGGTAACAAATCACCATTCTCCCAAAGGAGTTTCACTTTATGCTTTTCTGAGATTTCTCAGAAACTCCTTTTCAAAGAAACAAAATAATCACTATTTTAATTTCATTTCGTCCCATATAAAAATGGATTACAACAAAAATAAGGAGAGTAGGATATTGCTTTAGTTTTAATTTGTACTCTCCAAGCAGAAGTTTATGCTTTGGCTAATTTTTACATATCTTTTTATATATTTTTTTGTTTATCAGGCTTTCTTTTTTGTACTGGACTACAGGTATCTTTCTTGTGGCAAATGGGTACTGCCTTGCCAATTTGATACTGTCTTGCCAATTTGATACTGTCTTGCCAATTTAATACTGTCTTGCCAATTTGATAGCCTGGTTACCAAACCTATTATAGCTCCTGAGTCCTACATCCTCTCTGCAAAGGAGCTATAATAGCTTTGGTAACCAGGCTACAAATTTGATACTGTCTTGCAGCCACCAAAAAGATCCATTTGAAGATTAGATATTTTCCATTTTTGGTAGAGACGACTATTGTTACAATACAAATACTGGAGTAAAATCTCAGACAGTCTGGTACTGGCCTGGGAACCTAGAAATGTGCCCCATCTGGTTTAAGCTATTAAATCTTGCCACACAGGTTAATTTTATTAACCTTCACCCAGCTGAGGTAACCTGTTGGCTCCCATGTTGTAACTAAATGTAGTGATACATGGTGTGATGCAGCAGGGAGAAGGTTAAAAACACATCTGGCAGAACTCAGGGGATCTTGGCAGGTTGATTTAAAACTGTAATGAACCAAGCGAAAGCTGAAACAGATGTACACAGGCAAATGTACTGACTGACTCCAGAAAACTTGATTTTTCAACACCAGGGTTCTTTTGTGTACATCTGACATTTATCACTGTAATTTTTGACATTTTTGCAGTGGTTTTATCTTCGTAGAACATGTATATGAAGTTTTTGTAGTGGAAGATCATTGCACAGTGAATATATGCTCAGTTTTAGAAACATCTTGCTGACAAGAACATAGTTTTCTGGTCTTTTCTGACAGTCTAGGAAATTCTAAATGTCGACCGTTGTAGTGATTTTTGTGCACTCACTCACTCACTCACTCACTCACTCACTCACTCACTCACTCACTCACTCACTCACTCACTCACTCACTCACTCACTCACTCACTCACTCACTCACTCACTCACTCACTCACAATCCGGTTTAGGATCTGTTGTAATGTTCCCTCCTTCCGAGGGTTAGACGTGCTTGCACAGAAATACTGTGGCTTGATGGCAGCCTGCCACTTGCCTCTATACATGGGTTGACATTATGTAGGTTCAAGTGGTGGAAGTCCTCCCTTACATTGTCAGAAATTGTGAGAATCCTAAGTTCCTAGGCCATTTGTCACTGTCCGTTCTTTGGAGGTAAAGATGGTAACCAAGAAATCAAATTGATGTAGCCTTTATAACACTATATATATATTAAACAGTCTGTACCACATACAGGACATTAAGAGAGTGTATTTAAACAGCAGCAAATCTGCACACATGCTATTCTTCATACCAGGCTAAACCAACACTGTACTAATACATGTACACAGTATGTATGGTGTTATAGTTTGCACAAGTTGACAGGTGTGTACTCAGTCACTACTGACACCAGCAGAATTTATACATTGTAGAAAAATACCAAAGAAGTCAGTTCTAATATTTGTTATACTTATATAATGTAGACCAGTAGATAAACATACATGTAGATCTAGAATCTCTCTCTGTTCTCTCTCTTCTAGAATATAATCAAGACTACTTTCTGTTCACAGTAGCAAAAGTTTGCAGTCAGAGAAAAAAGACAAGGGTGCGGAACTATACATTCACGGTGGCGACAGGTGCAGCAAAAAGAAAATCAGCAAATTATTTATTCACAGTAATGATAAATTTGTGGAAGTGACTGAAAAGTACCAATATTTAAGTACAGTAAAAAATTGTGTACAAGTAAGAAGCATACAAGTAAGAAGTATATAAATGAGTTCAGCAAATGGCTTCTTTGACCTTAAATAAAGCACAATTTGAAAAGTTGACCTAGACACAAGTACAGTAACTGTATTTCCTCAAATTACTGAACACAAAGACGATTGGTTTGGTAGATAATCTTGAACTTGAAGATAAATCACTCGGTTATCCTTGGACAGTTTCCGCTGTCTTTTCTCTAATTTCCCAGTAGAGGGGGTATCAGACATTGACTGATTAAAGCATTCTCTAATGACTTCCTTTATTAGATGAACAGTTGGGGAACTGACGAATCAGTTCAGACAAAGCAGTTCAAAACAACTATTCATTCCCATTCCAATTGTTCAGATCTAGCTTCACTGAACTTGCAGCAAAATTTGCATAGGGAAAAATCTATATGTACACAGTACAGTAATAAAGGATAAGTTCAGGCATTCGCTTTGAAAATATAGTCAAACAGGTATAGACCTACATACATGTTGTAAGGACTTACATTGACACAAGCATTAATTTAAGAATCCTGTCTATAGTGACTATCTGTCCACATAGACCAGAATTTATCAGTCCTCTTGATCAGTTTTGACTGTAAATATAAAGGTCTCAATCAATATTTTTCCAAACTCAAAAGAAGCACATGCAATACTTGGTTTGAAAGTTTGAAATTTTCGCTGTGTTTTAAATTCTCACAATAGTTTGAAGTGAGAGGTAACTAAGAACTTGATCATTTACTGTAAGTAATGGAGGTAAGACAATCTGTTTTGTAAAGGATCCTTCCGCTCAGACAGTGTCTTAGTCTTGGACTGGAGCCACCTCCTTCACTTGACCTTGAAGTCTGGGTGGTCGGAGTGATTGGGTTTGGAGGTCAGACTCTCAATTTTCTTCTCCTTCCTTTATCAATCGGCCCTTTGTCACTTTCTTCAATAAACTACTGAATATTACATGTGCTTCACAAATTGGTTTGCCACCTGATGTTGAAGAATATTTGGGACTTGCCAATATTAACTGCAATTATGGTAGGGTTGATAGAGATAGATAGTTTGTAACAAAGTTTGGAGTTTCAGTTGTAGATTCTAGGCTTAATTTTGTTTGACATCATACAATCGGTTGATATTGTGTGCCATTTGCTCTTCAAGCAGAGGTTGGTGGGGAATTTTGTGGTTTCACTCCCCACCAATCTTTGCGTAGTGTGCCAGTGAAATTTTCTCCAAATGAGTTATTGAACACCATAAATCGATTTAACGTATGTAGCAGTGCTATATATACATGTAATAGCTAGCCTTAAATTTTTTTCTGTCATCTCATTTTGTTTGACTTCGCATCAGTTGAGCACTAACGAAAATTTTGAAATCTTGACCCTCTAGATCTGAAATGCTACCTGGTATGCTAGGTCTGTTGATAATGTATAGTTTGATGTTTTTCAGGTAGCAGTTTTGAAGACGATACGCGAGAAAAGTTGGACTAGTCCACCACCATGTCGTGGGGGGCAGATGATACCAGCGTCCGCGTGGCGCTGAGAATCCGCCCGCAGCTCGCCAACGAGAAGATCGACATGTGCCGGACGTGTACGCACGTGCCGCCGGGCGAGGCCATGGTTACCCTGGGCAACGACAAGTCGTTTACGTACGATTACGTTTTTGATACGGACTCACATCAGGACAGGATATATGAAGCCTGTATCCAGCCGCTGATCGAGGGGTGTTTCGAGGGATATAACGCGACTGTACTGGCATATGGACAGGTATGTCTTGTGGTTTCTTGTACAGAATTTCTTTATTACCAGTGTTCTCCAGGCTATATTTTGGTGCCCTACACTGTCTTTCTGTTATGTATATGAGTTTTAAATATTACAGAGAGAATACCAGACCAAAATCATATCCAGATGCTTGAGTAGCAGTTTTTTGCCATAGAATACAAGACATCCCACTGTTTCTGTTGAGCTACAATGTGCGCTACTAGCAACATGGAAAGTTGTCCTTATAAGCTATAGCCTGAGGGGCATCATGACATGTTGGTGACATTCTAAAGTACATGAAGCACAATGAAGTATAATGACATTACGGTTCATGCTCAGCTTAGTAGTCTTTGTTTAAGGTCAAAGGGGGTGTGTCCCTTTCTTAGTCACCTGGGTGTTTCATCAGCATATTATGGTCTGAGTTTTTACAGCATATTATGGTCTGTGTTTTTACAGCATATTATGGTCTGTGTTTTTACAGCATATTATGATCTGTGTTTTTACTCTGCGAACTGAATTCTTTTTTTTGTGTCTGTCTGCACACTTTGACCAGCATAATTTAAGTACCTATGGATGGATTGTGATTATATTTGGTATCTGGGTAGGTCTTGGGAACACGAAGGTCAAGGTGAAGTTTGGGCCTCCTGGTGGCTTTCCTTGGTACTGCAGCAGAACTTCCAGTTCCTGTAATTTTTTTTCTGGACATCCTATGGTCATAATGTACCAGAATTTTTGTAAAGATAAAACAATAACATGTATGTATTATACGTAAGTATAATAATTAATATGTCATATAAATATTGGGTACCCAAAATCTTTATACATTTACATATTACAGGAAGAATGTTACTATCATAATGATAAACTTTTCTAACATTGTGAAACTTAACTGTGTGGCCAGTAACAAATAATCTTATAAGCTTAGTTGGTACCCTCGGGACTTAGAAAATGATTTCTAAATTTAGTGCGTTGTTGCCATGATGAGTTAATCAGGTAGCTGGTGTACAGTCTGCACTCCCTACATACCCACTGAGATGCCAGAGAAATCTGGACAAACTATCTACATGTGATCTGCCTGTTCTAGTTTGGTCTGACAGGAGAAACATGTGCTACAAGCGTTTACACTGTTTGTATGTAGAACGATAAGCTTGTTTTTGAATACTGTAAATTCATTTATTTTTCTGGGGGCTTAACTTCGTGGTAGGAGGGAAAGAAGGTTTTTGCAGTGTTTTAGAGGCATTCACAATGCAATTTCGGGGTGGCAAAACTGGATTGTCAAAGTCAATTTTGTAGTCATCCTTGATTGGTAATTTTTCACATTGGATCTGGCATTCTTGAACAAAGAAATACAGTCACAATACCCTTATGCTGTATTGAAAATTAGCATAGGGGGGAAATTTAGCATAGGGGGTCAAAATTATAGCGTAGGGGGCCCCTACGCTACTTCACGCTAGCTAGAACCCTGGTAGTCAATCCTGTCCTATCATCATAGTCCTTTTCATCCTGTCGGACGATCAGTTCACAATTTGTGGGCCCGGCGGTCCTATAGCATACTGATATCTGTGAGACAAAAATGCAATGTCGCTGACAGAAAAATGGTTGCTTGTTTTGTATCGCAGGCTGGTTCTAGCTATTTATGGGTGGTACCCAAAACTAAAAACTAATTTTTGACCGAAGGAGGCACCACAATCTTGGTCAGATAGAATCAACAAGTCTAAGCCAGGCTTGTTTTTTTAATCCTATCGACTCCTGTTTAAGCGTTGTTTATCTTGTTTATAATTAGGCCAGGCATAAACACAGCTAATCAAGTCTTCTGGTTACTGATAAGATGTGACCTTAGGCCACACCAATGTAATTTCTTGGTTAACGGATTCGCCCGCTTCATTTTTTTCTGATTTGAAAATAAAAATTCAGAATCAACTGCAAAATGCTCATATTTTGCCCTGAAGAGTTGAAAGCAGTCCTTTTCTTCCTAGTTGTTACAGTTATTCCATCGTCCAATGCAGTGGTATCATTAAAAGTTCAAAATTCATTGTTTAAATTTTGAGCCAGTCTGGTGTGTTGACTTCATGGCTCCTATCATACCATTTTGGGCCATAATAGGATGCCTAGGCTTGTTTTTATTTTTTTATTTTTTCGCCCGCCCGCTCCATTATTTTTCTAGAAAAATCCGTTAACCAAGAAATTAAATTGGTGTGGCCTTATACTAAGTTATAGTCAAGTGTTTTTCTAGAGTTGCTAATTACTCGGTGTAAAAATTCATTGTTCCTTTTTCTTTTAGTACTTAGTTTTAAGGTCATTCAAAGAATGTTCAGCCTCAGGGGGGCAAAACAAAGAAAAACATATTCTGGATGAGGAAATTTGTCTGATATTAACATAAAATTGGTATAGGATGGGGTTGATTCAACTTACTATCAGAAAATTCTATCTAAAATCCAGTTTTGCCCTGGAATCGCATTGAATTCCTCTTAGAATCATAGTATAGTATTACAGTTTCGTAAAAATGTCACTTTGCAAATCAAACTTGGAACTCAAAACATGTTTTGGTCATAATGTGTTGAAGGTATATGTTGTTCCAGTTTTCAAATTTATAATGTATTTTTTTTTTTACGAGTTTTGGATTTTGTAGCATTGGAAAGTTGGTAGCCTGGGTACCATCCGGATTTTCGCTACGCAACGCTTTTTTCAAGCGTTGCGTAGCGAAAATCCGGATGGTACCCAGGCTAGAAAGTTGGGCTGTTTTCCTGAATAGTTCTTTATTGACTGGCTGTTCTCGGTGATGTTTACGTAAAGCGACTGAATAAACACGTGAACAACAGGGTACAGAAACGCTGTCACGCTCTTACACCCGGTCAAACCAACTTGCTACATTTCACGCTAATGTACCTACAGTGGTAGAAGAAAAATACTTGTTCTGCAATTCAGGGATTCTCTCTGCAAATACACACTTTAGTTTGGATCAAAACCCATGGCATACGCAAAATTGCATGTTGGCAAATATTTTACATGCAATTTGAAGAGTTTATTCAAAATTACTTGTATATTATAGAGTCGGTAGTAAACATTTAACATTAAAGCTCTTAAACACCATTGAACCCCTACTGGCCCTAGCCTGATTTTTTCAGTCTGCAAAATTGCAGGTCGCATAATTGAAAATTGAAAATCAGGAAAAATGTGTTAAAAAGTCAAAGTAAACTAGAAAGGCCAATATTTGCTTTGGAGCAAATATAGCGATGGGTTCACCACATTTTACGACATGGCAGGGAAAGAATGAGAAACACTAGAAAGGCCAACATTTGCTTCGGAGCAAATGTAGGAATTTCACTCCATACCCTTCCCCAAACAAAAATGAGAGATTCTAAATAAATCATACTGCAATTATACAAGGACAAGCTGTTTGAATCTCGACAGGTATTTACAAAACTGGCACTTGGCAATTATCTCCCTTTTTTTTACAAAGATACAACGACACGCACTTTAAATCTCGACAGCTTTACTTTACACTTTTGACGAGATTGTAACTACTACTAACGGAAGCAAAATTTTCACGGCCTGAGAAAAATGGACATGTTCACGGAAGTATATATTCACGGTGGTGACAGTTGCAGGAAAAAGAAAGTCCGGGAATTATTTCCTAACTGTAAAGATAAGTTCACGGTACAGAGGTGACAGTGAAAACCGTGAACATTGACCCCCCGCTTGCGTTGCGGTACAGTGAAAAAAATCGGGAATTACAGCAATCAATTTACTGAGTATGTTTGCTTAGTTTCCAGATGTTTTGTACTTGTAGTTTTTAAATGAACGAAAACCGATGCGCGCACAGATGTTACTTTTGTGACAACATCAAAGTGATTTTGGTTTGTATGTTGAAAAAATACAAAAGACTAACATTCGAAGTTATTGAAATTCTTGAGTAAGAACAATCAGTTTTGGAATGTTAAAAGCAAAGCAATGGATATTAAAACGAAAATGTTAAAATTAAATGTTGAAATTGTTAAAATGTAAAATGGTTAAAATGGTTAAAATTGTTGAAATTGTTAAAAATGTTAAAATTGTTAAAAATTGTAAAAAGGATAATTGAAAATATCCAGTGTACCGGGGTTCGAACTCGTAATGTCTGGACTTGCAGCCCTGCGCGTTACCAACCGAGCTATCTGGACACGTTTCCATTACTCTCTGCATTGTATGTCATATAAAGTGGACAACATGGCGGTAACGATCGCTTCAAGTACTAGTAAGGGACTTTCTAGGAGATACACTCTACAATTTTGGTGATTCTTCAGAAATCGATAACAGAATATATAATACTAGTCGGTGAAGATTGTGGAAAATTGTTGATACCGTGGCGCGCGCGTGACGATACACATTACGTACCGTTGTTTACAGTACTCGCGGGGCGCAGGTCATTGACCTCCCGCTTGCGTTGTTCCAACAGAGAAGAGCAAAATATCTGCCAGTTTTTGCGTCAGATTTTCAGTGTTTGTTAAAATCATATACAGGCATCCATGCAGCTATAATTCTTCCAACTAGTTCGTAGTTAGGTGAAATGTATATAGGAATCACACGAATCGGTATCCAATATCAGAGTATCATGGCCCACGGCCGAGACCGCGTGGACCAGCTGCGCTGGTACGTGAAAATGGTAGTAAATAAATTAATTAGCCAACAGCCAATCAACAGCCACATCTGCAAACATGACCACACCTGCTTGTATGCCCATATTTGGGCCTTCCCCCGAATTCCTTTCTTATTACGTCACGCGCGTACGCCCCCACAGTACTTTCCTATGGGGACCACTAAAAAGCAAATAAAACGATTGTAAAAGCTTGTATCAAAAAAATTTAAAAAACGCCTAAGGGTATTTACCCACTCTACCTCTATACGAAATTACAGGTAATTTCGCCCAAAAATGAAGGACTTGAATCAATTTAAAGAAGTGGCAGGAGGAGGAGGAGGAGGAGAAGGAGAAGAAACATCAGAAAAAGCAATATGGGTTCACCACCACT